CCTTTGTCTGCCTCATTATGTTGTGTGTTTGTGAGTGAGTGAGTATAGTTTCACGCCGCTTTTAGCAAAATTCCAGCGATATCACGGCGGGAGACACCAGAAATGGGCTTTACACATTGTATCCAGTGGGGAATCGAACCCGTGTCTTCAGCGTGACGAGCGAACGTTTTAACCAGTAGACTACCCGACCGCCCTCTTGTGTGTTTGTACCTCACATAACGAGGTCTGAGTGTTATGAAGTTACGTTCTGTCTTGAAATAGACCACGATACTCCAATCGCTAAACCTCAACATCTACATCGATATTACATATTTCAAAATCTACGAGTGTGGCTGAAAAGTCCTGAGCCACACTACGAAGGATATACGAGGATCTTGGAAGGGATGATGTAGAACTCAACGTAATTCATATTAGTTCGGCCCAGTATGTTCCACCACCTCTCGAGCATCAACTATATAACCTTAACACCTGTATCAACATTATAGCCTCAACGCTCATTATAGCATCGACGCTGTAAATTGTACACCACGAAAGGTGTTACACCATCCACACCGTCGACGTTCAAAACACCTGCACGTGTAACAACGTCAAACATATATCATCGTTGTAACCCGAACACCTACGTCGACGTTGTAATTTAGAGGCCTAAGCCTACATGTAAGAGGCCCGACACTATCTCCACGTCACAACATCAACACCTATGTCGTCGTTCTAACTTTCCACCGTCGTGGTCGTTACAAGCTACGTTTCATGCTAGGGTCGATTTGTAAAACCAGTCCCCGTTTGGATTTGATGTTTGAAAGACCAAGAACTTTCATAGACATTTACAATCTTCTTATTTTGAAGTTCATCTTCCGAAGTCCTTATTGGCCTACACAGCTATTCACCCTGAATGGTATCAGGTTTATTCGTATTTAGCTACCAGGATGGGACGAAGTAGGTTTATATTTCACCCATTGTTACCGAATAAAAAGAAACTGTAAAAAAATTGCAGACAGCTGATCAACCCTGAATTACCTGTCTCGTATTTGTTCTCATAACTTAAAATAGTAAACCCTCAAATAAATTTGATATTTTATTCAGAAATGTTTATAGCCCACAAACATGAGTTTCTAAGCAGGGTTAAAACCTGGACTGTACGTGTCACAAGAGTAGATCAGCCGATAGCCGTGACTTTTATCCTGTTGACAACTTCTTGAAATTGGATGCCGTCTCAGCCCGCGTTGTGAGCCACGCCCGTAGTTACTGCTATCTATCTGCATCACTGACCATTGTGTTCTTTTCTACCTAGACCTGTTATTGGTCTAGTAATGACATTTGTCACAGAAACTCATTGTGCGGCCGTTGCTCTCTCGATCTTGTTTAAGCTGCTTCATATATACTCAACAAAGAAAGTTAAGGACCATCCCAATCTTCAATATTAAAGTATTTAATTGTTCATATTATGATCTATACAAAACATAAATAATATATTGAGATTAATATGATAATATAAATAAGAATATTGGTCCTTAACTTTTTTGGCTGAGTATATTTTAAAAGAAAGGACACTCTCGCTCTCGATACATGAACTGATTAAAATAAAAGTTGCATATTTTGTTTACTGCTGTGGGTTTTGTTTGTTTGTTTGTTTTTCTTAAAAAAAGCTTTATATTGACGAATAGGTTTTTTAATTTGTCAGTTACATAGCTATATATTCTCATAAGTGTCCATCCGAAAGTGTGTGCCAAACCACGTTTCCCAAGATAACCTTTTTCTTTCAGTTTATGATCCGAAACTGCGTACGAGAAATGTGAAAGTGAAAATGCCTTTTATCTGTTCACGGCATCACCAAATAATGTTTTAAACTCCATACGAATTTCTATACCTTATACTTATACCGTTCACTTAGTATTTAGCGTCAGTATATGTAAATTAAAAATCAGTAGAATTAATAAATATGCCATTTCATATGTACACTCCCTGTTGTTACAAGCTACCAATTAGTACCTCTAGCCCCTCGCCTGGCTGTTCTGTTAGGTGTACTCACTCACCTGTAGCTGGATTAACTGCTAATAATTGACAAAACAAATATAAAGATTCTATATTTATTTACATTCACAAGTATATTAATGCAAATCTTGACTCATTGTCTGAATGCAGAGTCAGATCAGTTGTTACACAACATACACATTGTCCATCATATGTCCAATGGTACACAGGTATGAGTCAAGATTTCTTTCACATAACATGTACTCTAGTCCAAGCCGTTTAATCTTGTCATCTCTATCTACATATTGCTTCCTACGTTTGGGAGTAGACTGTCCACACTTAAGTTGCAAAACAGCTGTACTTGGCTGGATGCTTCCTCACAACCAACACCTAACCTAACGAGCTCAGTAGCAGTTAATCCAGTTACAGAGTCTTATCCTCCTCATCCGTGATTCTATATATTTTGTAAATCGCGTAAACTCTAAGAGCATATTCGTCAACTTCATTAATACCATTGATGTTTGTGACAATCCCAGCTTTATCTGTTGTTATTGCTGGGGAGTATCGTTTGATTTGACAGCGAATTTATAATATTATTCATCAAAAGAACTTAATAGGAGTTATGTGTTTCTATACTAGTCAGAGGATAATTTATGTTACGCATCCGGTAAGGATATGTACGTAAACAATTTTGTCAAGTATTAAAACTTTCCCTCTGTTCTGCTGCTGCGTTTGGCGAACAGTATCGACCAACTTGCCCAGTGGTACCGTTACTATTCAAATCACATCACAAACACGTGATTACAATATAGTCAAGAACCGGTTATCTAATCACTGAATATGAGCAAATCTTAGACCCAAACTTATTTTCTTTGGCGATGTAAATAAATGCAGTAAAATGTTAAGACTTGCAAGAATATATGTTGAAGTTAGCAAAATCGGTCTTTCACCTCAATTTTCTGTGTTTCATCGCGTTAGAAATACAAAAATATGACAATGAAAAACGGCTATAGTGTTTAGTCACTCGTCAGTGTCCAATAATTTTTACCTTTATTACAATAATATTTACCAATATTACAATGATTTTAACCAATATTAAAATATGTTTTACCAATTGTAAAATGAATTTTACCAATATTGCGATATCTTTTGCCAATATTACAATGATTTCTAAAATGTCATTTTCTCCTATGTTCCCAACATTATATTGACATAGTGACACCCGATTGAAAAATAAATTTTATTAAGACGTAATTTTAAATTTTAAATACTCGCTAATATTTCTGAGCGTTTCCTTATTTGTTGCCATCAGTATAGTACTTCGACATTCTTTTATTACCGAAGGGAGGCCATCAAATTATTGTCATTATTATTAATGACATGACAGATAAACAATATTTTATACTTCCTCTAGACCCGTGAAGGTCTGGGTTAGAATTGATCTCCAGTAACCCATGCTTGTCGTAAGAGGCGACTAACGGGATCGGGTGGTCAGGCTCGCTGACTTGGTTGACGCATGTCATCGGTTCCCATTTGCGCAGATCGATGCTCATGCTGTTGATCACTGGATTGTCTGGTCCAGACTCGATTATTTACAGACCGCCGTCATATAGCTGGAATATTGCTGAGTGCGGCGTAAAACTAAACTCACTCACTCACTCGACTTCATCTATGTACACAGTAAATTTTACTTCCCTGCCCAGTTAAATAACGTTCAATTTTTAGGTTACTGAAAGTAGTTCAGAGGCAGGAAGATAAAAAGGGTGGTCTCAAGACTATGTTTTGATTTCCTGTTTGCGAAGTATCAGGGCGGCGGATGGCAAGCCTAGTTAACTAAAATACATTTTTATTTAAAAAATGTTTAAAAACAACAACAACAAAACTGAAGGAAGATAGGAAAGAAGATTTTTTTAAATATTTGTAGGAGGTGAAATGTTTCTTGACACTTGATGCCAGTGTTCCAAGTCTGTTTTGATCACGTCCAGTGCATGTAGAGACAGACCCCAGACCATGGTGACCACAAAGTGGTCTTTCGAATCACATGACAAAAAAAAACATCGGCAAAAAGTTGAAATGTGGTGCAAAAACGAAATTCAACTTGAAAATTAGTTTCTTAACTGTGTTTAAAATCTTAACAATAATGGAATAAAAAGCAAGTATTAATAAAAGTCCGCTTGAGGTCAGTATTGTAAACAAATGAATGTTGTAGAAGTGTCCACCCCAGTTGATGGAATATGAGATTTATACCCCAGCCGGTCACCCACCCCTCTTTTAACTGTAGTTGGAATTGCCTTATCCGACTTCTGCACTACTTAAAAACTTCAATAACCAATAATTCATGGATATCATTAACTGTTTTTCTTATCGAATGGTGTCAGTATTATTTACTTGTATTTGGTGACCCCACTTATTTCCTCTACAACCAGAATTTATGGCCCAGGTTCCTAGGATATTTGAACTACACCCCTACTTGACATCCGCTTGTAATAAATAATGTGACCCACTCCTTGTTTATTTAGAATTCAGAAATTCGGGGAAGGTTACACAACGGAAATACATTTTACTTCCACTTCTTTAATGAGATACACTTTGACTCATCGTATGACTTTCAGGATATACGTTTGTTTCCCTTTTATCACGTACAAGGTAAAATTATCACGGCCGTCTTTAAATAACTGAATCTGGGCCCCGTTCCTCAAATCGATCGTAGCGCTACGACAGTCGTAGGCCTATGTTAATGTATGGGAGTTACGATCATGGTTGAGGAACGGGGCCCTGCACCGGACGTATCCAGTGAGTGATATCATGAGCATCAATTTTCATAATCTGGATACCATGACATGCATCAACCAAGTGACCATCAAATCTATCAGACTGCCTCTTATATCGAATTTTACTAATTTTTTACCAATGGTTACAATGTTATTTCAATATGACATTCTTATACACAAATGTGCATTTCACGTTTTGTATGTGAATCATAACGTGTTGGATGTTATTGATTAACGTATTGTTCCTTTTCATTTCAGACCCCAAAATATGAATTTGAAATTGATTTTCAACACAAGCCTGTCCCTTGGCACAAGTGTCCTCAAGGTAAGTTCTTACCTAGTCCTGAATTCTGATGTCGTGATGTTGTCATGCTGGTGTTACATATAGATGTCATGCTTGTTACATATCAGTGCCATGCTTGTCACATCATGGCTTAGCTAGTGTTATGCTTGTCACATCATGGCTTAGCTGGTGTCATGTTGTTACATATTGGCTTAGCTGGTGTCATGCTTGTTACATATTGACTTAGCTGGTGTCATGCTTGTCACATCATGGCTTAGCTGGTGTTATGCTTGTCACATCATGGCTTAGCTGGTGTCATGTTGTTACATATTGGCTTAGCTGGTGTCATGCTTGTCACATCATGGCTTAGCTAGTGTTATGCTTGTCACATCATGGCTTAGCTGGTGTCATGTTGTTACATATTGGCTTAGCTGGTGTCATGCTTGTTACATATTGACTTAGCTGGTGTCATGCTTGTACATGCTTAGCTGGTGTCATGCTTATCACATCATGGCTTAGCTGGTGTCATGCTTGTCACATCATGGCTTAGCTGGTGTCATGCTTGTTACATATTGGCTTATGTGGTGTCATGCTTGTTACATATTGACTTAGCTGGTGTCATGCTTGTCACATCATGGCTTAGCTGGTGTCATGCTTGTTACATATTGGCTTATGTGGTGTCATGCTTGTTACATATTGACTTAGCTGGTGTCATGCTTGTCACATCATGGCTTAGCTGGTGTCATGCTTGTTACATATTGGCTTATGTGGTGTCATGCTTGTTACATATTTTCTTAGCTGGTGTCATGCTTGTCACATCGTGGCTTAGCTGGTGTCATGCTTGTCAAAAATTTTCTTAGCTGGTGTCATGATTGTCAAAATGTTCATAGCTGGTGTCATGCTTGTCACATATTTTCTTAGCTGGTGTCATGCTTGTCACATATTTTCATAGCTGGTGTCATGATTGTCATAAATATGTTCATAGCTGGTGTCATGCATATCACATAATGGCTTAGCTGGTGTCATTCTTGTTACATAGTGGCTTAGCTGGTCCATCTGTATCACATCATGGCTTAGCTGGTGCCATCCGTATCACATCAAGGCTTAACTGGTGTCATGCTTGTCGCATCATGGCTTAGCTGGTGTCATGCTTGTTACATAGTGGCTTAGGTGGTGTCATGCTTGTCACATCATGGCTTAGCTGGTGTCTTATTTGTCACACATTGCTTGTTACATAGTGGCTTAGGTGCTGTCTTACATGTCACACATTGGCTTAGCTGGTGTCATGCTTGTCACATCATGGCTTAGTTGGTGTCATGCTTTTCACATCATGGCTTAGCTGGTGTCATGCTTGTCACATAATGGCTTAGCTGGTGTCATCATTGTCACATAATGGCTTAGCTGGTGTCATGATTGTCAAAATGTTCATAGCTGGTGTCATGCATATCACATAATTGGTTAGCTGGTGTCATGCTTGTCACATATTTTCTTAGCTGGTGTCATGCTTGTCACATATTTTCTTAGCTGGTGTCATGATTGTCAAAAATATGTTCAGTAGCTGGTGTCATGCATATCACATAATGGCTTAGCTGGTGTCGTGCTTGTTTCATTGTAGCTTAGCTGGTCCATCCGTATCACATCATGGTTTAGCTGGTGCCATCCGTATCACATCATGGCTTAGCTGGTGTCATGCTGTTACATCATGGCTTAGCTGGTGTCATGCTTGTCACACATTGGCTTAGCTGGTGTCATGCTTGTTACATCATGGCTTAGCTGGTGGCATGCTTGTCACATCATGGCTTAGCTGGTGTCATGATTGTCACATAGTGGCTTAGGTGGTGTCATGCTTGTTACATCATGGCTTAGCTGGTGTCATGATTGTCACATCATGGCTTAGGTGGTGTCATGCTTGTCACATCATGGCTTAGCTGGTGTCTTACTTGTTACATAGTGGCTTAGCTGGTGTCATGCTTATCACACATTGGCTTAGCTGGTGTCATGCTTGTCACATCATGGCTTAGCTGGTGGCATGCTTGTCACATCATGGCTTAGCTGGTGTCATGCTTGTCACATCATGGCTTAGCTGGTGTCATGATTGTCACATAGTGGCTTAGGTGGTGTCATACTTGTTACATCATGGCTTAGCTGGTGTCATGCTTGTCACATCATGGCTTCGCTGGTGTCTTACTTGTTACATAGTGGCTTATGTGGTGTCATGCTTGTCACACATTGGCTTAGCTGATGTCATGCTTGTCACATCATGGCTTAGCTGTTGTCATGCTTGTTACATAGTGGCTTAGGTGCTGTCTTACATGTCACATCATGGCTTAGCTGGTGGCATGCTTGTCACATCATGGCTTAGCTGGTGTCATGCTTTTACATCATGGCTTAGCTGTTGTCATGCTTGTTACATAGTGGCTTAGGTGCTGTCTTACATGTCACATCATGGCTGAGCTGGTGTCATGCTTGTCACATCATTGGCTTAGCTGGTGTCATGCTTTTCACATCATGGCTTAGCTGGTGTCATGCTTGTTACATAGTGGCTTAGGTGCTGTCTTACTTGTCATACATTGGCTTAGCTGGTGTCATGCTTGTCACATCATGGCTTAGCTGGTGTCATGCTTGTTACATCATGGCTTAGCTGGTGACATGTGTATCACATCATGGCTTAGCTGTTGTCATGCTTGTAACATAGTGGCTTAGGTGCTGTCTTACATGTCACATCATGGCTTAGCTGTTGTCATGCGTATCACATCATGGCTTAGCTGTTGTCATGCGTATCACATCATGGCTAAGCTTGTGTCATGCTTGTCCCATCGTTTTTTAGCTGGTGTCATGCTTGTCACATCATGGCTTAGCTGGTGTCATGCTTGTCACATCATGGCTTAGCTGGTGCCATGCTTGTTACATAGTGGCTTAGCTGGTGCCATGCTTGTCACATCATGGCTTAGCTGGTACCATACTTGTGACAGATTAGTGCCATGCTGGTGTCATTCTTATCACATGCTCATGCCTTTTACATAATGGTGTCAGGTGTCTAATTGCAAGTTACATACTGGTGTCATGCTGGTGTCGTGTTCAAAACATTCTGGCATCAAACTGATGTCATGCTTATTACCTGCTGATGTCATGTTCCTAAAATGCAGCAATAAGCTCATATACTTTTGCTTTTTGTTAAGCACAAAGACAAAAAGTCAAATTTCTGTTTGTTTTCTGAAATCAGTCTCTGATTTAAATGTTCAGATTTAAACAGCGTACAATCTCGTTTAAACCCCATATTCACTTATTAAAATGATTTTGAACTGATAGTTTCTCATTAAAATGAGTTACTGTCTTGTTTAAACAACTTACTATCTTGCTTAAGCCACTATCTCATTTAAACAACTTAGTTTCTCATTTAAATGACTTACTATCACGATAAATGGCTTAAAATGGTTCTAAATCATTTAAAGGAAGAGGATAATACTTTGTTTTTCAAATCAAGTCATATTGCCTTTCACTGATAAGAACTATCAATGCCTGCCATATGAAATCTGTTGTGAAAGTATGTCCCTCACAGAATCTACCTATGTTTACAATCTTCTTGTACATTTGTTGAAAGTTGGACCGTACAGATCTCATCAGCTGAGATGTACAGAAATATTCTTTAATAAGTGCTTACAATAACAGATAAAATGAATGCCGCCATTATGTCAAAACGTCAATTTGTATGCCAAATTGTTGGATTACCGACAGGCATCTCCTACATTAAGTCAAAGAAACAACTCAGAGCTCTAGACCTAGCTCCAAGTGTGTTTGTCTGTAAACTTTTTCTCATTTGTAGAAATATTCAGTAAGGTATACTTTATCAACCATTTCATCTGTTCCCTCGTGTAGTTTCACATGTAAACAACCACCAAAATCAACAGTAGAATTTATCAAACAGATGATAAAATTGAAATGTGCTGAGAACTATACAACTGTATTTATTAAAGGCTGTTTTATAACCATATTAAAAATTGTCCAGGGCAGACCAATTTCATTCTTTGTTTAATTGATTTCCATGTTCATCTAATATATTACTAATAGGCAAAAGAAAGTATACAGTTTTGGTTTTGTTTATTGTTTAGAACTGCACTCAGCTATATTCTAGCTATACCCACCTTTTTGGGTGGGTGGGTTATTGTTGTTGTCGTTGTTGTTGTTGTTGTTGTTGTTGTTGTTGTCTGTACACAATTGAGTCTCCACTAGACAATCCAGTGCGACATCATGAGCACCAATATACACAATTGATTTCTGTATTTATGAATCACTCTCAAATACATATAATATATCAAAATGATTAAATCCCAAGTTTTACCAAGCGAAGGATGAATTTGAACTATTAACTTTCAATAGTTCATGTTTACACATTACAGGACCACCTCCGTGGTGTAGTGGTTAGAGCATTCGCCCGGAGAGCGGAAAGTTGCGGGTTTGATCCCCCGGGATCAATCCACCGCGTCATACAAAAAGACGTTAAAATGTGATACTTGTTGGTCCCTGCCTGGCGCTTGGCATTAATGGGTAAAACAAGGACTGGTCGGCTCGGAGTCAGTATAATGTGTCTGAGTGGGGTATTCATGCTTCACTGCGACATGGTATCAAAGTGAGCTAGCACTATAAAACCAGCTTAAGTCTGGGCTAGTACAAGCAGCCGCACATACACATACACACACACACGCATGCACGTCGTCATATGAGCGAAATATTTCAAGCATCACGTTAAACCCAATTTCAATTTCACCTCACCTCACCTCACACATTACAGTATAGTTTTAGCAAGGAGACTTGAGAAACACAGAAACAATTTGACTTTCCTCAATGATAAAAAATTCCCAGAGAGAGCCCAATGACATATGAAAGAAGAAGTTAGTTCATCTCGTCAGGCCGCTGCTCCATCAATCATGCTCGGCACTGCTGGGTGAGACATGATGGCCTTGAGATTTGAAAGGCTAAGGACACTGTTAAATGACATGTATTTATTTTTCATATCTTGCTTTAAGATTTATGTATATAAGTAA